GTGTTTTCAGTGAGATTGAAATATAATCAGTAGAATTTTCTTGAAACTGTACATTTAAAATGTGTTTAGATCTGTGAATGTAAATGGAAGTAACTTGTTTGCACAAGCTAGATTTCTTGAGGACAAATGGTTTCTGGAGCTTAAAATCTCTAATATCTTAAAATTAGATTGCCCAGCCTTTCAAGAATATAATTGTACCAGTTTGTGCAAAAAAAAAAAAAAAAAAAAGACATTTTAGACCAAATCAGCTTGATAAAAATTGCAGGCAGTGGAAAGTAAATTTAAATGTCATGCTTAGCCTGAACATAAGTTTCCCAAATGTCTCCTTTGCCAGGAGACAAATTTTAAACGTTAACCTAGTGAGAAACAGTACCAGTTAAAATCTGGTATCTGGGGCAAATAGTGAGCAACTAATAGAGAAACGGGTCGCAATTGAGCACGTTTTTTAAAAACAAAAAAGGCTTATCTGACTTCATAAAACTCCGAATTTTCATTTCAGGTCGAAGCTGCAGAGAAATGAAAACAGAGATATCAGTGAAGTCATTGCACTAGGTGTACCCAACCCCAGGCCATCTAATGAAGTCCAGTATGACCAGCGGCTGTTCAACCAGAGCAAGGTAAAAATACCTTGTCACAGTTGTGTAGTTTTGTGAGAACAAGCAAACGCGTTCCAGTGGGCACAGCTGGAGTCCAGAGGGGACCTTGCTTTAATGGATGGTGTGGATGAGCTCTGAGGAATCTCTACTTAATGGGTAGCAAACTGCTAATCTCCCTACTCTGTAGCTGATGCAACAACCATTAGGATATTCAGAATGTGTAACTGTTCTAAAGTGGATTGGGTCTGTGGGGAGAAAAGTAGGAGAGAGAAGCTATTTTGCCTTCAAGTTCCAGTAGCTTCGCTTTCTTTTGTGCAATTGTACTGATTGAATAAGGAGAATGTGCTCTGAAAGAGCAGCAAGTAAATAGTTGCCTCTCTCATTACTGTTTATAATATAAAAGCTTCTGAATATACAGATAACAGAAACATTTGTCCCTGAAGTTCTTACTATTGAGAGATTAAAAAGAGAGATGAGGCTTTGAGAAGTCCCACAATAGTCCTGCAGCGTATCAGTCATTCTTTTCCATGCCTGTAACGAAAGACTTGTAGGCAGAAGGGAGAGCTGACAAATCAAAATTGAGCAAGCAGGCATCTCTCCTACTTCCATGGCTTACATAAACTTGTGTGTGATTTAGATGAGTCAGCTTAAATCACATTTGCCAGAAATTCTGATTAATATGCATTTCTGTATGGCTGCACTTGGCTTTTATAGCCAGCTGTACTTGCAGGGCAGACTGAGATGATGGATTATTCTGAAATGTGAATGGCCTGCAGTCCTTCCTGCTGGTTTCTGGCAGTGTAGAAGTAGTCCTGACTGAAGCTTGTAAACATGGTGTTACATTGTCTGGACTTTATCTCAGACCCCAAACCACTCATAGCATATGAAGAGCTTGGACTTGATAGAAATCATAGTAAGTCATATCATGGCAAGTTTTCATATCTGCATGACAGCAAGCCCATATCTTGATGTTAAAACAAAGTAGCTGAAGTTTGGCACTCATTTGTATTATACAGCTGTACACCTTTCTCCTTCACAGGGTATGGATAGTGGCTTTGCTGGAGGAGAGGATGAGATTTATAATGTTTATGACCAGCCCTGGAGAAGTGGCAAAGATATGGCTCAAAACATCTACAGACCAAGTAAAAATGTTGATAAGGATATGTATGGTGATGACCTAGAGGCTCGAATTAAGACCAATAGGTAAGAAAATAAAAACAGAATACTCTTAATTACTGTTCTGAAGTCCCAAACATCGGAGTATAATATCTTCTCCCACAGGTTTGTTCCTGACAAAGAGTTTTCTAACTCCGACCGTAACACCAGAGGAAGAGGCAGAGACGGACCAGTTCAATTTGAGGAGGATCCTTTTGGTTTGGACAAGTTTCTGGAAGAAGCCAAGCAACACGGTGGTTCTAAACGGCCCTCTGATAGCAGCCGCCCTAAGGAACATGAGCACGAGAGCAAAAAGAGGAGGAAGGAGTGAGTGCCTCTGTACCTGGAGTAGCAAGGAAACGGACTACAAGCTTGGACTTCATTAAAAAAAGAAGGTGTTTTTAATATCACAGAGGTATATAGGGTGATGCCATGTAAAGAAGCAGTTCAGAACTCTTTTGCTGTGTGGAGATGTATATACACACTCTAGTTCCTCTACCAAGGAGTTTCCTATGAAGAATGGAGACTGCTTGGAAATGTTTCACCGGGGAACTGTTCTATAGCAAGTTCTCTGACTTTGCTAATTCCCTGTTGCCCAGCATCTCAGGGTAAGAATGTAGCCCCTTCCCACCACCATGGTTTTATTAAGTAGTTGAAGCTTTGATTTCATTTGTTACAAGCTCTCCCACTGTAAATAATTACTGTATCATGCTGTAATAGATGCTAGAGAGCTTACACCTGCGTTTCTGTGTTGTTCCATAGTTTATTTGAACAAGGAAGGGAAGCAGCTGGATTCTGTTTTAAATCCAATACTCACAGTTTCTCCATAATCTTTATTTCAGTTTCTTTACATTTAGTGAAATAAAGCCTCTTTCCACAGTTCATTCACACTGATTCTCTCTTTGGTTGAAGGTATCTTCTACCTTGCTGTTGTCTGAGAAATAGCTGAAAACAATGGAAATCGTTCACGTTAGGCAAGAAACCTTGACTTCTTTTTATTTCTAATTTTTCTGAAATGTTTATATGGAAGATGTTAATGTGTGAGATCTATAGTGACAGCTGCTGAGTCCTAGAAGGAATATTAAATAAAATTTACTGATAAGACTAGCTGTGGTCATGCAAAACACATCTTAAACGTTTGGAATTTCAAGTGGAATTAACAGAAGTGCTCATGTTCTGCTTTTAGAGAGGCTTGTCTTTTTATTAAAAAAAAACTAACTGCCTTCTGTTCCACTAAAAAAGCAGCATTCTAGCTCTTGTACCTCCTGTTAACAGTCCATGGCTTCACTGGTAGGTAAGCAAATATGGATATCTTGCAACTTCAAGAGTAAAATGCAGCACATTTTGCAAGACATTGAGAATCTCACACTAAAGACTCACCAGTGGTAGTCACAGTACTTATTTTGGTAATTGTCTACAGCTAACATCCTATGTTATTTTCAACTCAGCTTACCTACTATCAGCCTATTGCCTGGCTTACTGCATCTTAAGAGCGAATTCAGTAAACTACTACTGAAGTTTTGCTTTTCTTCTGCACTGTTGTTACCTCACAGGCCAGCTGTAAGACACCATAAAATAACCACAACGAACAAAGGCTTCTGTAGGACGAGCCATCTGAAGCAAAATGCTTTACCGTAATCAACGTTTTGCAAGACCCCCTGAAGTCTCTTACAAACTGGCTGTACTCTTAACATTGCTTGTCAGAACAATAAGGCCAAATTCATAATGTGTATTTAAAGTCATTAAGTGATAATATCTCTCCTGCAGCCTGCTGGTTGCTCTTTAGCTAGGCCAGCTGAAGCATGTGCAAGTCTACAATAAAAATCCCCTTAGTAATTCACCTTATTTAGAGACTACCAAAAGCAAGCTTCCAGCTGTCACTGCACTGTCACTTGTTTTTACTGGTTTAAAAGCTTAGCTTTGTATTCTGTCACATTCCAGCCTCTCCCTAGAATGCAAATTTGATGCTGGAGTCTGCTTGCAGAAAACTTTATTACAGATAGATAAAGTTCCTGAAGAACTTTACCACATCTGTGTTCCTTTAGCTTAGCATAATGGAAGACCTTTATGTCTGGACATGGTTTCTCTCTGTGGGTCTATTACAGTTACACAGCTACAAGTAGTCAAGCTGAGACAATGGAATAACTAACTATAAATTTTCAAAACACTAAAAGTATACTGAAGTGGCAAAATGCTTAATTTCACTTGAATAAGTATGGTGTTAATTTGATGTTACAGCATCCACTAGGGAGCAGAATTAAAGACCCAACTCTGTAGGCTACTGCACTAAAGGAGTGAAACCGTTACCTTGGCGCCTTCCAGTATGTGGGAGTCCTTCTGGAGCACGTTCTGAACCTCTTCTGGAGATGAGAATTTAATCCAGCAGTAACGTTTGTGAAAGCCTGTGTCTTTGTCCTAGTTACAGATTAAGGGAAGAAGCTGGTTACTGTAGGAAGTTTTTATTACATAGGCTGTTAAGCTTTCTATCCACGTCCTGTTCAAGGATTCAGAAATAAGAGACCAGTACAACTGTTTCAAAAGTCTGCTTCATACTTTACAACACGTATTTCCATTGACAGCTGGGAGGGGGCGCGAGCTATTACAGTGGAATAAAGCAGGGCTGGGAGTCTCAAATTGTCCTGACCCTGCAGCCCCGCCTGAGCTTCAGCAGGGATGGAATCTTTTTCTTTAGAGCGCCCGCTATGACGCTCTGTTTTGGGTCTGTAAGAAAAACAACGCTGGTCGTTTCGCGCCTGCCAGGTTCAGCCACGACAACCCGGCTTTCAAAGCCCGCGGCAGCCGTGAACCCCGAGAGGCCTGGGAGAGCCGGTGCCGAGGAGGTCAGAGCCCGCGGGCCGGGCGCAGCGGGGGACACCGGGGGGCTGCGGAGGCCGACGGCGGATACTTACGAAGGGCAGCTGGCACCTCTGCACCGACCCGAACTGGGAGAAATACTCCTTCAGCTCCTCTGCGGGAAAAACGGACGCATGGTTACGCGGCTCTGCGCCATAGGGGACGGAGCCGCGGCAGCCCCGAGTGCCGGGAGGGGGGGCGGCAGGGGAGGGAGTGAGTCGGCGCGCACTCACTGCTCGACACCGTCCAGGGAACCTCGGCCACGAAGATGTCGAAGACCCGCCGGGAATGCCGAGCCGCTCTACGCACCGCCGCCATCTTGTGAGCTGTAGCGCTCCCCCGCTCCGCCCCGCCTCGGCAGCGCGCGCGCCGTCCGACCGCGGCGGCGCAGCCAAAATGGCGGCGGGGGCGGCGGCGCTGGGCCGGGAGGGCGGGGAGGACGCTTTCCGTCGGCTCTTTCGCTTCTACCGGCAGCGCGATGCGGCGGACCTGCGGGGGGTGGTGGATTTCTCCGCGCCGGGGGGGCAGGTAACGGCGCGCCGTCGCCGCCCTCATAGTGTGGGGCCGGGGGCAGCTGGGTAGCACGGCGGGGCCGCGCCGGCCTGCCTCCACCCGCGGGAGGATCCGGGCTCTGTCCCTGAGCCTTTCCCGTGTCGTCGCGGCGCCGAAGGGCCTTACGGGGCCGGAGGTGGGCGTCTTACGAAGGGCAGTGCCTACAGAGCCCTACGCGATGGGCAGCGGCGCCCACCACGGTGAGGCGCGGAGCGGCCCGGACCCGGGCACCGCCTCGGCGGAGCGCCTCGTGTCGGGTGTCACGGCTGGGGTTGGTGCCGGTGTTCAGAGCTCCTCCACGGGACCGGGGGCTGTGAGGGATGCTGGTGCCCGCGGGTGTATCCCCGAAGCTGCCATAGTAACAGAAATCCTCTCTGCAGAGATACTATTTCTGCTTATGCCTGCTTATTGCTGCTGCTAGCTAAATTTCAGCGCGGCAGTGTGATCTCCAAAGCCTCCACCAGAAGTGTGTGTTACTTGAGAGAACCAAACAGGCTGTCGCTGTTTTCTGGGCCTGCCAGATACCTTGGGCCTGGAAAAACGTGGAGAGCCAGAAAGGAGCCAGGGTGTGTTTCTGCCGCCCGGGGAACACATGGCTGGAACTGGGGCAGCCCTCCCCTCAGCGAGGTTCCTTTTCCTGTTGTCTCAACAACCACGTGGTTTAGCCGTGAGTGGGAGAGCCTCTGAAAGCTGTACCTGTGTGGTTCAGTAGTTTCACCATGTGGGTGAAGCGCTGTGGAAAGCGGTCCTTGGAGCTCATCTCCTATTTTGTCACCTAATAAAAGGGTAACAGATCTCTCCTGAAGAAGTTTTAAAATTTGGATTCCCTATGAGACTATGCAGATAATGAGGGTAGGCGTATAGCTAAAATGAAACCTGACCTAGTTTTTCATATTCCCAATACTTAGCCTTTTATTTTTATTGTTGTGTTATAATACATACTTCTCTGTCTTTTCAGACAATAGTTTTGATATCGTTAACTGGACACAAAACTTGACCTATAGCAAAATTGTTCAGGCATTAGCACTGAATAGAGTAGTTGTTAATATTTCAGCCTTTCCTGAGCTTGCAGCAATACTTTATCAAAGGATTCTGGCGTTACAGCCCTTCTGGGAAGTTTGCAGTCCTCGAAAGCATCACAAGCATCTGTCCTCTCTCTGTGTCTTTCTCTTGTGCCTCTTACCTTCTGGGATTAGCTGACAGCTTTTTAGTGAAAGAGTCTTTGATTCCTCTTCCCCCCAGGTTAATAGCATATAGTTTTTCCCTTAAAGAAGGACTGCAGGCCAGCCAGATTGGCCTAGATACTGTTGTTCTTTTTCTCCCTGAAGAGTGCTTCAAGTGATGGAGATTTCCAGTGAAGTGTGACATCCCCAGCTGCTCTGCTACAAGGCATATTTTACTAGTTCAGCACATACAATCTTTCAGTGTAGGAGCAGGTCTTGTTCTTGGGAAGCCCTGGCAGCAGCCGGTGTGTAAGCAGTTGGAGAAGATGGAAAAACAGTAAAGGCTCAGTCAAAGCAGTTTCCCTCTTGGGTGTGTTCTGCAGACAAGACTCAGAATAAAGCTCTTCAAGGCTGGCAGTTACAGAGCTGCTTTTGGCAGAATTGCGAAGTTGGTAAAACTGAGTATGTTGCCAGAAACTGCCCCTCAGTACTGGTTTAGAGTTGTTTTCTCAGCCTGTAGCAACTGATTTGTACCTCATTTGCCTCATTTGGGAGCGCTCACACTTGAGCCTTAATTTCATGTATGCTTTAAACTGGTACAAAATGAAGTCTTGTCTACCTCCCCCTGCTTATTTCCCCAGTTCCTAACATAAACCTGTATTTCTGCACAGCTGTACAGAGAACAGGACTGGGGAATTGAGCTGCAACAAAACCAGTGTACCTCTACTATGTCCTCCCTGGGAAAGTTCCCAGTCCTAAGGAAAGCAGTGAGAATGAGGTGGATATGTTTCTTTCAGAAACAATGTGGGCTTATTACAGTTGAAACAGGTATTATTGCAATCCAGTGTACTACACTGAAAAAATACATCCTGCTGACCCCTGAGCTCCTTACCCTAGTGGTAACAATGTGGTATTCAGCATTTATAGGGTTTCTGCAGTCCTTTACATCAGACTGTTTTGGCAACTTCATCACTGTCCCTTTTCTCTTGTAATTACAGATGAGAACAGTCATTTATCCTATGGAATTCTGAGCAGTAACTGTGATTGGAAAATGCTTTGAAGATGTAAAGTGTTACGAGAACTACGTATTGCTCTCTCATGGAGATTGATATTCAGCAAAATGGCTGATTGATGGAGATTGAGCTGTAATGTGGAAATGGATAAACAGTGCAGATCTTTTTCTTAATACAAATCGTTCTTTATGAATGGAGGCTGTCTCTCCCAATTCCTAAGTCTTGTAAAATCTGTAGATACTAGCTCTTTTGCAGCTCTGTGTGTCCTGTTCTGGTTGCAGTTGTTCAGACAACAGTTCCCTTGTTTTCACAAGGTTCCCTTTATTTGAATGGAATATGGTAGCACTCTACAGGTGCTGTTTTTGAATGAGTTTTGTGTCTATTGCTTCTTTTTCCTCCATTTAACAGATCTGCTTTCTTTTACCAGGTGTTCAGATCACAGCTCAGTGTTTCTTCAGTCAGTGACCAAGATGCCTGCAGGGCAGGACTGCAACCAGTTAGCAGGTGGAAAGCCTACGGCCTCAATGGGTACCCAGGTAGGTGCTCTGATTTCAAGAAAAATAATTGCAACATTGTTGTTTCTGATTCAGGCATCCTCCATTTTATCTTTCTTCCCCCATCTGAAAAATCTACTTAGGTTTACCTCAGCATAATTTAATGTTTGTGATGTTGATTTGTTGGGTTTTTTTTTTTTTTCTTCTTGTTGGTTTGCTGTTATGTTTTTTGTTTTTTGGGGTTTTTTTGAGTGCAGGAGGACAAACACATCCGTTAAAGGAGGAGATGCAGTGATGCATGGAGGTTAGAACAGAAGAACCAGTAGTTTCATGGTATCTTAACGAAACAGACCATCCCTTGTGGGAAAGAATCCACATTGCCAAGGCCTTTGATAGAAATGTTATACTTACGCAGCATCAGTTCCTCCTCAACGTATATCATAAACATTAGATAAGTGACTGAAATACAGCCACTTCAAGCCTGAAGCATGGCCCCTATTTACTGGTGTACGGGAAGTGAATACTGACCTCTTGTCCTATGTAAGGTACAGAATAATTTTGTTAGGTTCATTGTTTAAATAAACTGAAATTGATACTAGATCTTCAGGTCACTTATTAGAGACACAGAAAGATGTCAGGTTGGGTGGGACTTTTGGAGATCTCTGGTCCATCCTCCCTGCTTTAAAGCAGGGCCAGTTTGAGAGTTAGATCAGGTTGCTGGGAGCTTGGTTTGGGTGAGTTCTGCAAACCTCCACGGACAGAGATTACTTTCTGTGCACTTGATCCAGTGCTCAGCTGTTCTCATTGTGATTTCTTTTTTTCACCTTTTATCTAATCACAATCTGCATTGCTGTAATTTGTAACTTGCTTCCCATAATCTTGCTGTGCACCCTGGAGAAGAATCTGGCTCCGTTCTTCGCAGTTCCTCTTTAAGTAGCTTTTAGTCATATAGGCCAACGTGCAATCAGCCTTAATTGCCACAAGGGTGCACTACTGACTCAGGCTCAATTTGTCCTCCAAGACAAACTGCTTTTATGACAGGTTGTTCTCATTGACACCTGCTTGTCTTACCAAGATTGAGGCTGGAGACCTTCATACTCAGTGTGCTGCAGGATTCTGCTGCAGTACAAAAACTGCATTTGTGTCCTCAAGGCAGATTTTATTATTATACAGATCCCCAAGGAATTCCTCTTTTGCTTATTTCACTTGGGCTCTTTCAAGGCCAAAAATGTTGCCTTTGATGCTTGGATTCTTGCTCTCAGTTCTGTGTGTAATTAGCCCTCCGGGCTTCAATTCCTTCATTAGCACCTGGAGGCAATACATCCCTAGTACAGTGTAATTCATATAGGTAGTAAAATGTTTTAAAACTGCACATCAAAAGCTGTTGACAGAAAGGGCAATGTCATTACTCTGTTCTATACACAGGCCAACAGAAAGTAAATTTAATGTTTCTGGCAAAGAAACTTGTTGTAATCAGACCTGTAAGGAAGCTACCTGTAGACTGAAGGTGCAGGGAATAGAATGGAGTGAATGACGGTGTCTTATGACTGTACTGAAGGCTCTTTTTCTAACCACTTAGTTTAATTTTCTGAGGTCTGTGAGATATGCTGGCAGGAAGATTTTTCCATGCTTTTATTACCGCTTTATAAAGGCCACAAGGCAAGTTTGTATCCTGCTGAGAAACCTAGACTTCCTTCTTCCTTTTTCATCTATTTTTGTCTGTTTGCCTTGATATGACTGCAAGTTCAAAAAGACAGAATAGGGCAAAACCTTGAAACCTCCTTTTCCTTCGTTCCTGCTGTATCCTTATCTTTCTTTGTATGTGAATGTGTTGGTGAGTCTTACTGAATTGGCAGTTTTTGAAGGAAAGCCTTGATTCTCAAAATAAGTATGATACAGATTAATAGCATCTTCTCAGCACTCTCATTCATCAATGCTGTCAATCTTGTCTTGGAAGGAAACACCCCTGGGGTGTTGGGGAAAAAATCCAGTAAAGAATCCTAATATGCTTGTATCCTTATATATCCTTAAATATAAGACATGCCTAACAATGGCATATCTTATGGCAAGGACTCCTTTCTGTTAAGATACGGACCAAACAGATCCACAGTTACATCTGTGCTAACCCTCTTGTTTGGGCTATTGCTTGAAAGCTGCCTGAAATGCTTGGCTAAATCACTGTGCTCATTAGCTACTTATTTACTTCATTTTGTTGATAGATTTTGCAGTCATTATTAATTAATAGACGACAGCAACATAGCTGGAATGCAGTTTGATTTTCATTCAATTTGAGTAATACCATACAAAAGTGTAAAGATTGATATAACCACATGTGCTTGGAAATAAGCACAAAGCAAAGGAGAAAACAGTTTACGTTCTAAGAACTTTGTCCTGTGGACTGCTCTCTGCAGTTCATGACAATGAAGGAGCAATGAAGTAGCAATAAGAAGACAGAATGAGTTCTGAGACTTAATTAATGAGTTCTGAAATGTAATTCCCTTATTTAAAAAACAAAAGTAAAAACACCCCCCCCCCCCCAACAAAATTCAAAAATGTGTCAGCATCATGAATACAGAATGCTGATACAGCACAACTTTGTATGCAGAAATGAAACTTGAAAGCTGTACATCGAAAGCCTTGCAAAATTTCTTTTTGTGTGGAGGTTTATTATTGTGCTTTATTATCCTTTCCCAGATTCAGGAAAGGGGGGATGGGGAAAAGCTACAAATGGTGCTGTGTACAGGTTTCCAAGCTTAGTATGGTTATAATCTTTAAGATGTCAGTAGGAGCAGTTTCTGGTTCTGTGCTGGGCTGTGTAAAAGAGGAAGCACTTGGCTTTTGGGATGATGCATGGGGATCTTTGTGAAGTAGAGGTACCCAACGTACTTAGTTGAGCTGTGCTCTGCAGCTGGGGAAGAGAGATTGAAGCGCTTGGTTAACAAGACTACACTGCAAGAAATGTAGGGAAAGAGGAAAAATGGGACTCTGTTTTAACTATGATGTTTTAAACATCCGCCTGTTGAGTTCAGCTCTCATCCTTGTGTGGATAATGGAAAAAGGTAAACATAATCAACAGGTTGCCCAAGGAGTCTGTGGATGCCCCATCCCTGGAGGCATTCGAGGCCAGGCTGGATGTGGCTCTGGGCAGCCTGGTCCAGGGGTTAGCGGCCCTGCACATAGCAGGGGGGTTGAAACTCGATGATCATTGTGGTCCTTTTCAACCCAGACCATGCTGTGATTCTGAGACAGTAACAGGGTCATTTTGAAGACTATAAATTAACCATTACCATAGCTGTAATAGTTATAAAAACTGTAACTAAAGGGTTACAGAGAAGAATTCTGCTGCAGCATTTCAGTATCAAATTTACTCCAAAGCAGCTGGCTTTCTCAGTTCTTGCCCCTTTATCTACCTGCAGTCTGTATGCTTTACACAGATATGTTGTTGCCTTTGAGTGCCCTCCATGCCTTCTAACTTACAGGGATATGTTTTTTGTTTTGAAAAAACAGCAGGTCTTAACCTTTCGGAACTCTTAATAGATTTCTAAGGTGTTCTTTCGGTACCTCCAACCCCTCTCCTTTGCTGTGATTTTATTAAAAATAGAGATATGCCCAACCATACTTTCTCACCCATCCCCTCTACCTTCTTCTTCCTGGTCAGGGTTTATTTTCATACAAAACCCTTTCCTTCCGGGCTGCCAGCGTCACTGGGTGAAACAGTGTCTCAAGTTATACACCCAGAAACCCAATGTCTGCAACCTGGACCTGCATATGGCTCCTGAGAAGACCGCTGATCTGTGGGGGCAAAGCAAGGAAAAGCTGAGGTGAGTCCCAAACAACCTTTGGTCAAAACTAACAGAGCCAGAAGTGCTCAGCTCTGAGAAGGCTGAATTAAAAATGGCAAGGAAAGGAAGCTGAAAAAGACTGAGTACGTGCTGGCAGTATACAGATCGTATCAGACATGCCAAGTTAAAGATGTATCTTTGTGTGATGTGCATCCTTGTTAAGTCTCTTCTTTTACATTAACAAATGATTTTCTAGTAGCAAATTATGCCAAATCTGTCAGTCTAGGGTAAAACAGCAACCCTGGCTGATGTCGTGGTGCTCAGAAGCTTGCGAAGCTCAACTACAAGTGGAACCATGAGGTCTCCTTAAACCTCAGTTTTTCTGAGGCAAAATGGATCCTTTCCAAACATGCTGTGCCTGCTAAGCTCTTCTTTCCAGTCAGCTGCTGGATCTACTATGCTGTAATTGAAAAGCTGTACGTTCACTTTTTTGTATATGCACTCAAATTGACCAGTTTCCATGTTTCGATTTTCAGATTTTTTCTTTCATCCAGTCTGAGATGGCAATTAAATGTGTGCCATTTTAATGTCAATCTTGTTTACTCTGGAAGATCCCCACAGGATCTTAGTTCTGTAGCAGACAAAGCTGCCTTTCTTCTAACCAATTTGGAGATTAATGGAGAATTTGTCCAAGTTTTAAATTCAAACAGGAAATGTTAAAATCTAAGCTTTTTTAAAAAATAATAATTGTAAAAATAAAAGGAAGTTAGAGGCTGTTCACAGTATACAATCATTATTTATCATTGTTGATTTAATTGCTTATTTTTGATAAGGCTGTGTCATGTGCTGGAGTGACCAGATTTCCCTGCAGCTCTCATCTTTTGCTACAGTCTGTTAGGAAAATGGATGTGCTGAGATTTTTCTTAAATAAAATAAAATAAAATAAAATTCTTAACATCCAGAAGAAATGGATTTGCCAAAGCAAAGTTTGAACTTCTAAATATTCATACCTGAGACAGAAGTTAGACTGCACTTGAGTCTTCCAGGCTCAGTTGGAATTTGTTACAGAAGTTCAAATGCCTTTTTTTTTTTTTTTTTCTTCCATCACATATGAAAAAAATATTCTTGGAAAGCACTGTGGACTGTGCCCTACAGCTGAAAAAGGTTGGGTACTGTTCCAGCTTGACAGACTTTTCCCAGCAGTACCTCCTGCACACCTGGAATGATCAGAACAGAGGTTAATTTGCGGCTGAATCTAGTTCAGTTGAAAAGAGCAATTGGAAGAGCAATGGCTGGCAGGAGCACCACGTTTTATTAAGCATTTGGCTTGCTCTTTACATGTGCAAGCTGCTGTATCTATGCTTTACCTAGCAGGAAGCAGATCAAACTAACAAACTTGTCTGGTATTAGGAGTGAGAACTTTTCAGAGAGTGGAGAAAAAGCATGCTCAGCTAGAGGGAGGTCTGTTGCTAAAGCCTTTTATCTTTCCATCTTCTTCTTCAAGGCTTTTTAATCTTCCATCAGATAGATACCTAAGTGTGCTTGGATCATAACATATCTGCTGTTTGCAGGAATCATAAGGTAGGGAGAGTCCATACAGTTCCTAGAAATGTACCTAGAAATGTAGCTGTGCTCTCTCTGCAAAGTGGAGGACTTAAAGTGTAGAGGACGCATGTCCTTGCGAGGGATACATATGCCTGCATATGTGAGAAAACAGTTGGGAGGATTTTATGGATGGAATCATTTATCAGCAAGTAAAGAAAAAAGAGAATGCTTCAGAGCATCTCCCCTCATAATCTTCAGTCTTGCTCTCTTTCTAACATAGCTTAGCCTGAACTTCTCAGTGTCTTCTTGCAGGAGCACCTCTGCTACAAGCTTAGGAACTCATTGTTTCCAAATACGTAACACCCCTGTCTTTCCCCTTCTAATCAATCACCTGTGAAATCATGTGCAAAATAATAAATTCTGGGAATCCAGACCTTCTGAGCTACTGTTACTGCTTCTGTGTGAACATTAACACAGTAGCTAAAGAAGATGAAGGGCATTTTCAGAAGGCAGGTGAAAAAATGTTTAATTATGAACATTAATTTACTGTTTGGAAGATGCAGAGGAATGAGTTGTGGCCTCTCAATTTTCTAAATGTTGTTACTTGTTGGTAGGCTCCATAAACTGTTCCAAGCAACATGTATTTGATGCTTACTGTATTGCTGCATTATGGCAATTACAGTTGCTATTACCCTGTGACAAAGAAGGAAACTGGAAAGATGACTTTCTTTCAAGATTCAGTGAGCTGTGAAAAAATCACTACAGGTAAAGAAACTGGCCTTTAATTCCTGTTCCCAGCTTAGCTTACAAGCTACTAATACTAAAGATCAATAAAGTGAAGGGCAGAAACAAGCTGTGTATCCAGTAGAAACGCATGCTGAATGCACATGCTTGGCTGACACTTGACCATGGCAGCACAGATACCATTAATTCAGTTTTGTAAAGATCATGTCTTGCTGAACTAATGAGGCTGTAAATGAGAGCCGACCATCTGGCGCTGCTGTTCAATTCTGTCTCCTCCTTTCCTTTCTTTCTTTACCATATCTCACGACTAAGCATGAGAAAAGAAACTGAAATTTCTGGTGTAAGTGGACTAGGAGATATGTCTACCTTCTTTTCTGTATTTGTCACTAGCATGCTTCTGTTTGATTTACTACAGTAGTACTCTTTGGTGTAACTTTGTGAGGACTTTTCTTTAAGCCATAGTAGAAGCCCATCCCTGAGGTCTCTTCCTGCCTTCCACATCTTCAAGTACAAAGGGAAAATAGTTGTGAGGTTACAGGTCACTGCATTGGGTTGTCACTTGAGGAAAACAGTTCTGTGTGCATTATGCTGCTCTTTCCTCAAAAAAAAAAAAAAAAAAAAAAAAATCGAGTGTACTTTTGGTCCTCTGTGACATCCTGGATAGAAAACACCCATAGTCTAAATTCCTTGACATTACAAGATGCATATATTCATATCTGAAGTCACCTTACAGAACTAATTCATCCTAAGGGCTTCTTGTAAAAGTACCGAGCAGCAGAACTAATGGGCTCTTGCTTAGGAGAGTGTTTTACAGCTTCATATACTTCACTGTCAGCTAACACATTTCTCTTGTAATTCTCCATTAAGTGCCTGAAATATTTCATTCTTGTGTTTATACGTTTTAGATCTTTACAGATTCTTTTCCAGCTGCACAAATAGTACATGCTTAATTCTGACTTATAAGTGTGTGCCAGTTCACTGTGTTTTCTCTGTATGATATCCCAGCTTAGGCACCAGAGTACAAATACAACAGCAATTGGCAGTAGAGTCCACAACTGCTGCAGGTTGAATGAACTGAATGTTTCGTTCTGAAATGCAGTTCAGAAACAGAAAATTCAACAATGAACAGTGGCATAAAAGGAAAATGAAAATAAAAGTTTAGCACTGATGGTTTTAACAGGCTGATGTGGATGAGTGAATCTCATTACTGCATACTATAGTATCATGAAATCTCTCAGAAATTAGCATGTATCCTGTTTCTTTCAATGTTGTCTCTGCAGAAGGAAAGGTTCCAGTAAATGTGAGCCCAGAAGCTTACTGGAGAAGTTGCGCTGGGTGACCCTTGGTTACCATTACAATTGGGATACCAAGGTATTGCAATTTAATTCCTTTCCATTTCTTTTCTTCAATGTAAGTGCTCAGGATTGCAGACAGAAAGAGGGTAATATGGAATAAAATTTAGTAAGGTTCATAGGATCCTACACAACAGTCTGGAGGAAGGGCTGTAACACCGTGCTCCTGAGAACGTTTTCACCTTTTTGGATTCACTGTGGAGGATTTGACAGCAAAAGCCCATTGCTGCCTTCTTTGCTTCAAAAGGTAACACAGTAGCACATGCTTGGCTGTAGACCTGTGACTCCATTTCAGCATAAGTGAGCATTTTTACCTTTCTAAAAGGGAATGTATCAAAAGCACTTAGAGCAAGATTGACCTTCGTGTTCGAAGACAGGTACTTCTGAGAAATGCTGCTCCTCAGTGGAGGGATGAGAGCAGGAAAAGTCTGCTTAAGATGCGACTTTGAACTTACAACCTGAACCAGTATAGTACAGTCTCACCAACTAACAGCTATTCTGGAGCTCCTCAATAATGGAGAAGGATAAACTTGTTCAGCAGATTGAGTCAGATAGAGGCTGAGACAAGACAGCAGAGTGCTTATGTATAGTCTATCAGTGTATTACAGACACTTAAGCAAATCAGTTTGCAGCCTTATATTTATCAGATCAGCATATTATTTTGAGGCCTTAAGAAAACTTGATTACTCCCTTTCACTCTTGTCAGTCAAAATCACTTGAGGAAGAGAGGGAGAAGTGGGTTTGTCTTATCCTTCAAAGGAGCAAAGATGTTTGTTTAAGAGCTCTGAGATGAGCTCTGTTGGTAAGATACAGAACTCTCAATTAGCAGAATTAGGTGGTGACTGAATGACCTAGGTAAATCCTCACGATGTTCGTATATCAACTTCAAGTTTAATTATAATGTTCAACTCCATGATTAAAATGAAAGACTGTTAATTCAGGCAAGTTCAGCATAGGCCTAGCATTAAATGATTTGAGGAAAACTTCTTTTGTCATACCTATGTTGTAGTCCTTCTTTATGATTTGCCAGATTTTTGAGATATGATTCGTTGTTTATTTCCGGTTGCATTTGCTGTTCTGATGTTCTAGGTTTGCTCTTTTTGTGTTTTTGTTTTGTTTTTTTTCACTTTCCTTCCTCCAGAAGTACTCAGCAAATCATCACACTCCTTTCCCCTCAGACCTTGCATTCTTGTCAGAACAAGTGGCTGCAGCCTGTGGATTCCGGGGTTTCCAAGCCCAAGCAGGGATCTTGAACTATTATCACTTTGATTCTTCCCTGGGAATTCATGTAGATGAGTCTGAACTAGACCATTCTCGTCCCCTTTTATCATTCAGGTGAGTCCATTTGAGTGTTACTGAAGGCATGGTGGATTCACTTATTTATTTGTTTTTACCATAATCATATATGGTTATAGGAAGTTAGTATGATGCGCTTAGTTAATTGAGCATATAATTATTCTCCAGAGACCTGAATTTTGGGAAGCTGTAGCTCATGGACATAGGTTGCTTGAAGACTGCTTGAATAGTATGGTTGTGGCATCTCAGTGGAATTGCTGTCAGTACAGGGCACGGTTATGTTCTAAAGCAGCAGAGTGGCAATTTGGGTACTAAGCAACAAGCATGAAATACCTCAGCAGAACACCAAAACTGGGCAGAGCAACTGCTCACACTGTGTCTAAAGTAAACTAGTCCTCTTGGTCTGTTTTCCATGTTCTCCGTGTTCTAACAAGGACTCCATTGGCATTTTTGGTTTAGTTTGTTTTTGTTGTTGTTTTCTAAAGAAATGCAGTTGCTGCTAATATTTTCCTGTTGTACATACAATTTTCTCTACCTCAATTTGTTTTCTCCCTCTATCCTCACACCATTTTCAGTTTTGGACAATCTTCCATATTTTTACTTGGGGGCCTGAAGCGGGAAGAGGCCCCAACAGCAATGTTCATGCACAGTGGAGATATCATGGTGATGTCTGGCTTCAGCCGTTTGCTGTACCATGCTGTCCCCCGTGTCCTTCCCAACCCTGAAGGGACAGCTTTGCCTTCGTGCCTCGACCAGGCACTTTCTACAGACCTTCCTGTTGGCTCAGTCATTGAGCACAGCTCTGAGGAGGATTGGCAAATCTGTGCCAAGTACTTGCAGTCTTCCCGTATCAACATGACTATTCGACAGGTGTTGGCTGAGGGTCAGAAATTTCCAGAGGAGTCTGCGACAAACACAGAGAGTCGGGTACCCTCGGAAGACAGTCACCATCAGGAGAACAGCAGAGCCAAGAGACATAAACCAAATATGGACAGCTGAGACCCAAAGATTGTGCTAACGTGGACCGAATGGACAACTTCAGTTGTACCAGAAGTCTTTGTCTATACAGGCATTCAGAAACAGCTGTAGAATAAAGCAGTCCTTGCTGCTGTAAGGAAGAGGTTGGGGTCTGGAATGAAGAAATAAAACAAGAAAGAAGGATAAATTTAGGACTAGGACTCAGAAGATGAACTTTGCTGTGGGCATTTATTGTACTTGGTTCCCTTTATGATGTATTCTCTGCAGCTTTCTGATCTGTATGCCAGAACTGTAAGCTTGGTTCAGTTATGTTTGTAAAATATTTTGAAATAATTGGGCAGAAAGTGCTAGCAAATGATACCATTGCTATTTATTAAAGAAGCCAATCAGGCTAGTAAAGCTCAGCTGGAGTGCGTTAACAAATGTGAGGGAGAGGAGGTTGCTGTGAAACCTACCTGCAGCATTTCCAAGTGAATTACTTCTGCTGCAAAAACTGGTTCAGTGATCAGAAACTAGCAGCTCCCTTGAGCAACACATGGTAAGCTTGTTCTAGCCTTGTGCTCTCCTTCTGCCTGCTTGCAGCCCCCCCCAGCTGCAGCAGAAAATGATTTTGAGTGGATCTGGACTTCTTGCATACCTCAGCTTTTAAAGGGAAATGACATGGGGCAGCATTAGAATACCAGTTGAGTATGTCCTATACCCCCATTCTTTCACATCTGCCTCCTCTAAGTGCCTGCAGATTAGGGTCCTGCAGCCTCAAGCTAGTATCTGTAAGTTACAGAATGTCCTCCAAGTAAAAGCAATGAAGTTGTAGACTGAGTACATAAAAAAGAAAATCATCAGTATCTCTGCACAAAGATATACTGAAACAAAGAAAAGTACTGGCTTTTGTTCTCTTTACGACTCAGACCTTCCTATCGATTTTTTAATGCAATTTTAATTGTTGGAGTGGAATGCTCTATCCCTAGGGTATTTTGTTGCACTTTCCAATGAATAAACTTACTCCGTTTTTAAATTAAAGATCTTTATCAGTTTGGGGCTTTTTTCTTTTATTTTTCTCCCTGTTAGTTATTTCAATGTATTGTTCATGCTGTTGCTGCATCCCTTGTACTGTTTCCTCCAGGCATCTCTTAGATCTATTGCTCTGCCATCTGCCAGCTCTGGCAGAGAAGCCCTACGTGTATTTCTGCAGGGCCACTTTGCTTAAGAGCTCTTTTGGGCTTGTCAGATAGTTCCTGAGTGGCACAGCTTGCGGTATCAAAGTCCAATTTAGTGTATATATGGCATCTTTTCCTCACAGGAGTGTGTTTGATTTGCTTAATTCACTGCAGGTGAATATTTGTGTGTGCATCTGTATGGGAACTGCTGAATCATGGCCTGAACCTCTGATTGAACACCTGAGGTGAGCAATGAGTCAGCTCTGGGAGTACAGGTGAAGGCAATTCACCTGTGCTGCTGGAAGGGGTGCAGCCGGCTGCACCTCTCCTAGACCATTTAAGAGCTGACTGCCAGCGGGGAAGGATCTCTTCTGGAGATCCCTCCTCTGGAGTTTTGCAGCGAGCCCAGGACGCGGGTAGGCTTTCTATCTATTCTCTTTTTGTTATTATAACCTGCTTTGCCTAACTCTCTTGTTTATTTCATAATTTTAACATCTTTATATTCATTGATTATACAGCATCTGTACAGCTAATTCTGCGTACAATACTGCAATGAGTTCCATTAATTTAGTGAACAAAATAATCAGATATGGTGTTCAGTATCAGTATCTTCCAAATTCCGTGCCAGAAGAGTATCCTTTCTATGCCCTAGGTAGGTTAGGTGTAGTTACAGCTAAGCCCTTGAAGTTTGAATACCGTTAAGAGAGAGGTTACAATATGACCAGATGAGAAATGTTAACTCTCTGGGAAGGTCTGGGAGAGTAGTTGAGGAGCTCCATTAGTGGCTTTAGATGGAGACAGGGAGGGGAATGCTCATCTCCCTTAGATGAGATGAAAAGGCAAACTCTGTTCTTAACTCAGAAAAAAAACATAAAACTTACCTACACCCTTATCACTGAAGCTGAAAGAAGAGGGGATGCATGGATCTAGACAGTTAAAAACTAAACCTGACTGAACCAGGCTGATTGAAGTATCTTTACATTTTCATTTCTTAAATGCCTTCAATTCCCTACAAATATGATAGATCATAGAATGGCTTGGGTTGGAAGGGACCTCAAGGATCATCAAGCTCCAACCCCCCTGAGACAGGCGCAGCTCCCAACCTTCATATCTAATACTAGACCAGGCTGCCCAGGGTCCCACTCAACTGTGACTCGAGAACAAGAAATCGTACTATTTGAAACTGTAGTAAATGCTGAAACACAGCAATAACTATTATTGATGTCCATCCCGGCTTTTTATTTAGATACGGCTGTGCTGAAAACCTGAGATATAAACTTGCAGTCAAGCTTACTATCTAATGCTACTGTGAAATACACTCAATATAATTTTGTAAGACACCCACAAAAAGAACAAGAAATGGGCATATTAGAAATGACCCCAAAGAAATGAAGTCATCCATGTATGAAGACTAGGAATATAAAATGGAAGAACTTCCTGAATAGCTGTTAATAACAGCAGTGTTAAGTCTGCAACTGTGCTCACAGCAAACAGCAGAGTACAGATGGGCAAACCACAGAACTTCTACAAATTATAATCCTGAACGTGGTTTTGAAAAGACAACATCCCTTGAATGACAGAGTAATGAGTAATGAGCCTCCATCCAATAAGTACTCCACTAATTTTTCCTTCAGGGCAGAATGACTAGAAATCAGTGGCCAGGTCAATACCAATAACAGGCTGTGGCATTTGCACTTTACCTGTTAAGGTTTGCAATGACTCAATAGGATTTTTCATAGCCCTAATTTTTTATATCAATCAATACCACAAACATTTGCCTCTATTCAGAGGAGTACATGCTGAGATAATCTCTGTAAGTTCCTTTTTTTTTTTTTTTTTTTTTTTTTTTTTTTTTTTAGAAAGAAGCACTGTCCAAGTGCCACAAGCTGAAATGCTTCAGTACCATAGGTATCAGTCTTCTAGGATGCCCTGCTGTGTGCAGTTGAGGGGAAGGAAAGAAGAGGTCATCTAGGCTAGCGCTGCAAGAAAATGTATGTAATAAGCTAATTACCACAGGATAATGATGTGTTTAATTCAAATCCACCTGGAAATGAAACATCTTGTTTAGCGTATGTACTCTGTTTACTGTGTGATCAATAGATAAACTATCTGTCCAAAAGAATATAAACAACCACTGATACATATTTTTTAATGTTCTACAGTAAAGGAAAAATAAAATCTGCAGTTAAATCAGAATCAATGTACAGTGGGATAAATATTGGAAGTAGAAGAAAAAACTGCCTGTACAAACCTAGCATTTTATTGCACTTGATAATACTGTGCTAGAGAAATCCACTGTTATCAACTGGGCTGCACAGTAGTGCCCAACACAGATATACTGCATGTCTTTTTTCTTGACAGCCAGGCAGTAACTTACTGGCAAAGCAGTCCCTAGAGCTGTGCCTGCTGCCTTAAAGATTCTGCTCTTAGGTATTTTTCCTTTGAGAGCTTGTTGATGTTTTTTTCCCTCAGTGTTCCATGTTAGATAAAAGATGGACCTAAGGAGTAAAATGGATCTAACCTCTGCTGTTTGTGCTTTGCTGAGCTAGTATATAGGAGAAGCTGGTGGATGGGGAAGAAGCTAGTTAGTAAGAAATACCCACATAGCAGCACAGTATCTCAATCTTACTGTCATGCCTGTAAGTCCAGGTTGAAACTGGCTTGCATTTTACCAACTCCAGACAAGAGCTTAGATTTATCTTCACTTACATAGGTCACTGCCATTCTCTGCATTACAGCTCAAGCAGGACAGATTTAACACAAAGAAAAAAGTAATTAGTGACAAGACTTATTCCTATTCAATGAAGATAAAAAATTGAGTTACAACTCAGTGAGCTCTAAGCTTACTGTAGTTCCGATGAAATCAGAAGACTTGCCTACATCTGAACGTGTTACATCAAAAAGTTAACAGATGTACACAGAGTGTGGGAATTAATGATCCAGAAAAAGAAGTTGCTGGAGGCCTCAAAAGACCACTACATTAAAAAGCTTTGGACTGTGCCAATGCCTCTATGCATTGTAATAACCCAATCTAGTTGATCTGGTACAAGAGCACAAGATGCTGTTGACACAGTTTTAACATGGTGCAAAATAAGTTCAGCTGTTTATACTTAGTAAATGACAATCACAAATACCTTAAAATAACTTTCCTATGCAAACAACTGAAGACTGTCTAATAATACATTCACATACACTCTAATGGAGTTGAGATAAGATCAAAGTTGCCATTGTGCGAGTTACAGCTTAGCTCATACAGGTCTTTCCTTGCATCAATTGATACCTGTAGTCAATGGGCCACAGAAACAGTGCTTTTAAGGCATCTCTAGAATTCTCATCCAACCTCCCTCTGAAAGAGTACTGTTGCCAACAGATTATCCATGCTAGACTTTGAAACCTCCCACTACGATGACTGCCATTTCTTTCAGTAACCTGTACCAACGCTGCCCCCCTCACCTTATGAAGAAGTTTTGTCTTACGTCCTGCCTGAGTTTCCCAAAACACCCTTTCTTTCCCTTGCTTTTCTCTTACCATCTACTACTACCACTAAGAATTTGGTTCCACTGCTTTTGTAACTCCCCAACCTTTGGCCTCCTCTGTGCCACATAGAAGAAGGACTCAACGCCCACATTTACTTGCACATCATCTCCCCTGTGTCCTTGGCTCCTTTGTAACCCTCCTCTACACCTTTTCCAGTTTCAGGTGGTAGACCAGCCTCTCAGCTAGTGCTGATCTCTATTACAAACAAGGTGCCAACAACAAATGAATGACTGAATCCTAGTTCCCAAACTCACTAGATTCACTTAAATCCACTGGATGGATAGGTTGTTTTGTTTTTTGGGGTCCCAGTGGACAAAGTAACAATCTGAAGTGCCAGAGTAATTCTAGCCCAATTAGCTCTATCCCCATCCAGTTCCTGCTATTTTAAATGTAAGAACCATCTTAGGAGGCTCTGACTATGCACAGAGATGCTGAAGGAATTAACCAGCTAGCCATGCATCTCTCTAAGGTGTAAGTATTTAGAGGACAGCAAGGAGCCAGATCCAACTTTTATTCACATCCAAGAGTTTGTGCTCAGATAGGTACCACAGAAAGTATCTACTGCATCTACTACTACAAGGAAAAGGACATAGGGGATGAAGTGTAAAAGTCTACAGTAGCTTTCCCTCTCTTCAGAATAGAGAATATGATTACTCCACATCAGTACAGTGAAAGTTCGAACTTCGAACCCGATTTAGGCATTTCCCATCTTATTTCCATTCCATCTCTGACTTTTTCCTACATTGTTCCTATGTTGCCGATGAGCACCTTCCACAAAAATTCCCATGTGCAGTGGACTGTACCCTGTATACTACCTGGGGGTTTCTTTGGGTTGACTCCCTTTTTGTGTCTGTAATAACACAGCTTAGCACTATTGTGAAATGAACCGAATGGTAGAGTCCTCCTTCACAGTCCCTTGATGCTTATTAACTCAAGTGCTCAGTGCTGTTGACTGAGCCAAAGGAGGACATTTGCTCGCAACAGCTTTTCTAATCACCTTCATGCACTGATCTCAAGGCTCTTCCAAGACCATTACTCTTTGGAAAGTCACAAGTGATGTCAAGTTATAGCAAAACACGCTAAAACTGAAATAGAATTAAAGCAAGGTACAAAGAAACATTCACCACAGAGAGAATAAAAAGTGAATCAGGTGAGAAGACACTATTCCTTTATTCTTTCATGTTGGGAAGTCAGCACTTCACGCTGGCTTTTAGCTTCCTTCTAGGTGAATTTAAAACTCATTCTATATTTACTGAGAAAGGCCAGAAGAATCAATAAAGGGCTCAGCTTTCTAGACCTGATCTTCTCACCAATCATTTCTGTCTCTGTTCTGTGCTAAGGGCTCAGATAAGAAGGCTTTGTTTTTGTTTTCAGTCTCCTTAATGGATAGGTTTCTTAATTACGATGGGGGAAAAATGACTGCAATTTTGCAGTGGTAAATTAAAATCAAAATGAGGTAGCAAAGAGCAGGGTCTGGAGGGAGGGGGGCAATCAGAAACAGCTATTGATTCTGAAATGATGGAGGAGGCCGGGGAGAGCATACAGACTGGAAAGGAGACTCATCTTTCAAGCGCTGCTCTTGCATAAAAACAATCAGGCAGCGGTGTTGGTTGTTGCTGAAACTTTAACATTAGCTTTGTTCTCAATCTGAATTTAAATTTTGGAAACACTTGCCTGTTCATAAGGGGATGGCTCCTCACACGAATCTTGAGATGATGGAAACCTGAGTGTGAAGAAACTTTTAGTTGTAGCAGTAATAACAAAATATTTGGAAATAATTTATTCTAAGAAAAAAACATCACTGTTCACAGCCAAGTAGGCAGAGAAAATGCAACATCTGTATGCTGAGCACAGGACAAGCTGCAAGATCTAACACCCTTCTCACTCACAGTTATTGCATAGGATGTCCCAGCTTTTCTTGAATAGAGAGGACTGATCTGGCATTGTCTTACCTCGTTGCAGTGACTGAGACCAAGTGTGGGCACAGCTTTCTGCCACTCCAGACAGCACACTTTCATATATTCTGGCCTTTTTCCCTTCAGCTTTTCAGCTGTTCCTTTAACAATGAAATCAGATGGTAGCCTGACGTTTTGTCAAATACAGCTAGCACCTGGACAGACTGTGCAACAGTACTAATCTTCTAATAACTGGTTTGTCTGACTGTTCTCATTGCTGTGATGAAGCCTGACTTCATAAAAATGCTGATTATCAGGTGTTTGGGGCATAGAATCAGGAAGATTTTAACCCCACTATTGCAAATAATATTCTCAATACAGTCATTCTAAATACAGCTGAATGCTTCAAATAAATAAGGCTCTATTTTCAGCACAGACAGCTGAAAACACCTTGGAGGTCCTCTGAAAGCAAGAGGTTTGTTGCACCATACAGGAGACATCTCTTCCACTCTTCACACTAACACTGGTCTACAAAATCCTCCCTCATCCCAATGCTGGTGACAACATGGTGTTTCTCTTGCTCCTCCCACAGGGGCTGGCATTTTGTATGACTATGTCCTTGTTCATAAGCCATTTTCCTCTCATTCTCCTCCAAGCAGTGCAACAAAATCTGTTATTTTCTTACTTCCTCCATCTTTGTAGCCACGGTTCTGCCATGTCACCTGTTCCCTGCCTGACTCCCAGCAGCAGGGATAATTATCTGGCAGTGAGAACTCCTCATCCTTGCCTAATACCCTGCCCTCACTTGAGAATGGCAGAAGCACACCTTTCCAACGACTGTATCTGTGGCTGCTCCTGCCTTTGACAGCTGATCCTGGATATCAAACTGAAGTGCAGGACAGATATTTCTAAGCCCTTCCTGGCTGTCATTGTGCTCTAGAGAAATCTGGATTTGGCACAGTGCTTGGATGCTTCAACACTTACCTGGGCCAAAAGTGGAATCAGTCCACAGATATCTCCCTCATCATCACAGGAGTTCTGTGCAGCACAGCAAGTCTTGTATATTCTTATCACTACCACTGTCTAATTCACTGTCAGTTCTTTTCCTAGAACAAAAAAAAGGACAGAAGTTAAAAGGAAGAAAGATTCCAGGTGAGCAAACATAAGAAGTGAAGATATGGCATGCTTCTGAACCCTATGACCTACTTACTCTTTCCCTGAAGCTTCAATGATCACTGCTGCTTTTTAGGGAACAGCAGAGGCTGCTTAATGCTGAAGGCTGCAATCCCTGGCTCCACAGACCTCTAATGCCTCCTCTTCCTGGTATTCACACAGGAAATGCTGCTTTTTCAGGTGATATGGAACCTACCAAGAAACCCTGTATCCTATTCTTTAAGTGTGCAGGTACTCAGTGTTGTTATCATTGGATATTCTTTTCTGCAACAGAAAAGCAGGAGAGAGAGAGAAAAATATTGGTCAGTGTTGCTTAATTGAGATCTAATAGCCAAGGTCAGTGCTAAGCCAAGAATAGACAGCAGAAGCCTCCCATGATATATTTTTGTGATGAGATGTTCATAGCACACAGACTGATCTATTATTGGTTTTCACCATGAAAAATTTAGCTATTGCCTGGAATATTCTCAAATCTATTGTGCATTATTTCCTTGCTTTTTCATTTAAAAATATGTTTCTAATGAGACCTCATGACTGTGTGAATTAGCAAATCTCTGCTGAGTAGAGAAATTGCTTCACCTTGCACAATTGTAGCTATATGTTCTTCTGCCAGACATCTGCAAGATGACAAAACCTGTTTATCTGAGTCTAGCATGCTCTTCTGGGCTAGAAACAAAAACCTTTAAAGGGAAAGGTGAAGACTCAATTGCCAATGTGCTACAATAGGCACATCTGTGAGGAAGAGCACTGAGCAGTTGCCTCTAGCAATGTTCTGCACATCTGTAATGTTACAGTGCAACAGAAGGAATGTGATGGTCTACAGCACCTCTCTGGTATTATGTGGCACTTCAACCTACAGGCTGGCACGACCTCCTACTCGCCTTGTTCTTTCCAGTATTTGCATACAAGTCTGTAAAAGATGCATCAGTGCTCCTCCCCAGCCCAATCATTTCCAGACATCTTAGGCTTCCTCCATTTTTTTTTTCCCCTCCACAGATCACAAAGCATCCTGCTCCTCAAATCTTTAACCGAGAACACAGGAGGGAGATGATTCACATGACCTCACAGACATGTGAATACTAAACCTAGAGAGCTGATGAAAGAGTTAATTCCTCTGAAGATGAAAGGAATAAGGTCTCCGAGGAATGCATCTTAGTACATCTATTCCCTAGAAGATGCTGCTCTACTTTCTTTGCCAGCGTCTATAGCACAGGATATGGTCCGATCCTACTCAGTAAGAACAGAGAACACAGTCTGCATAGGCATCACAAAAAACGTGAATACAATAGGTGCAAGGAAGCATTGTCTTCTGGTGCACGGTTACCTTGTGTCTACCTTAGAGCCTTCTAATACCTATCACTGGAGAGCTCCAAGCTCCTATTGCTGCTATGGTTGAAGCCGTTCACTGTGACGCTCCCTAGAGCACCTCTCTTGCAGTATGGGTGCAAAGTCCTCCAACAGACAGCTCTCTGCACACACACACTATGTACCTAACAACTGCCAACTGGCTCACTTCACTGCTCCTGAGAACACTGTGTGGATGGTGATCATAGCAGTTCAAACCACAGTTGTTCCATTTCTGCACCAGCAACTAGTGTGGAAGGTGCCCAAATAGCGGCCCTCTTTTACTACACCCCCATGTTCACCACTTCTTCAGTCCAGAGAGAGGGCAACACAATCCTCAAACCTTCTTGTAAGAGGAAGATTGGGTCCAGGCCTTCCAGAACAACATGCAAAAATAATTGCCTAGGAGCCTGGCATCTAGCATGGAAAGGAGAGGAGAGTGTGGTCGCCATGGTAATGCTGTGCCTCATTTAACTGCAAAGCAACCTCTCGTGTCCTTACATGCAGCCATTCCCACACATCTGCCCCGTGCATAGCACAGGCAGCAGACTGCACATGTAACCAGACACAGGCATTGCCCCTCTGCCCACGTCCGCCCCACACAGGGAGGGCACAGATATATTGTAACCTCCACTATCCCTCATATATGATGCACACAACACATACTTGCTGAGCAACACACATTCTCTCAGCTCTCTCCCACTCATGCACTCTCTGTCTCAAGAGAACGAGACAGACTTACAGTCTCAGCTCCTACAGCTATAGGCCCCTCTGCTGCGTAGGTATAAGATGCTTTATAAGCACAAAATCAATCAGTCTGTCAGCCACCAAAAGCTGCAGACTCTTTTCCTCCCTCAGCCTTGCCACAACACCTGACTATGGATCCTATGCAGATTATTTTTGGATGTATTTTGTTTCAGTTCCATGGGATGAGCACAGAATAAAGGCCCCAGGAAACTGATTTATAACAAGGCCATATGCCACTGTGCAGTACAAAACCCAAGGGAAGCTGATGGTTAGGTCACTTGGTGCTTCAGATTGGATCATGCTGCACTCACTTCTTGGCAGATAACCATAGGAAATCAACATCAATCCTGTTTCTCCTCAACATATCCTGTGGGTACCTGAAGGAAAATCCAACTCCCTGCTGATAGCAGGAAAGCAGAAGCACAGCAGCAACTCATTTCATAGCAAGAACAAAGTAGGTAGGAGCTGTGAGCAGCATCCCTACCACCCTACCATGCAACAGACAGGTATCAACAGATATCAGGTAACAGTCAGCTGTCATAACAAACCATTCAAACTCAGCTTTCATTTACATCACCAGACAGCCTGGAGTCCTATGCAGAGATGCCACTGTCACAACATATTCCATGAGTTCTTCAAGAAGGTGCTGGCATAGCTAGAGCTTAGGCAGTGCCACTGTGGCAGGTACAGACCAGCCCTCAGTGAGTTCAGGCAGCAAGTAGAAACTTCTCAAACACACATACATGGCAGCTCCAGCTAACAGGGCCTGTTGGGCCCGTCAGGCACAAAGTTGCTGGAGCCTGAAGTTTCTGTATCACACAGTACCAGTGTCCTTTTCTGCTCTGTGCTGCAGAGAGTTTTAATCAGCACTTGGCAAATGACTGGCATCTAGCAAATGATGAGGTAGCTCATACTGTACCAGCCACTGGGGTCCAAGCAGTTGCAACACGTTCCATTGCCACTACTTTGTTTGTGTGCTCTACACACGTGGCTTCTAAAATGCTCAGAAAACTGCCCCAGGTAATGTCTCCTTAGACTGCAGGCAGGATGCCTGCCCATATTCTGTTCTTCGTAAACCTCTCAAGCTCCCCCTGCTTACTTCAGCCCACTTTTGAGAGTGTGATCCAGTTAATGGAAGAGTGACCTGACGTACAAGCACACAGCTGAAGTAGATTTCCCTACCTGCTTGCTCAGCACCTCTGGACAAGGTGGCCCCAGTTATCCCAGTACTGGTCAAGATTGCACACACATCCTCCCCTCTCTCCAAGAAGGGATAAGCACATAATTCCCATGCATCTCCTTTCTCTGTTCACTCCATCTTCACTACCTGTATGCCTGACTATACCTGACCTCGGGTACCTCTCTGAAAGCAGAGGCCCCACGTGCAGCCCCACACAGAGGTAGAACCCGGGAAGGGTCTCTGCAGCCTGCACAGCCTACATACAGCCAACCAAGCTGACATCGCTCTGGCACAGAGAAAGGCATCTAATGTCTGAGCACACACTTCCCCCTTATGGCTATGTCTGATATAGCAACGGCCCAGACCTGCAGCACCTTCGCCAGGCTTGTGATTTTCCCATGAATGTTGAATATCTTTCTTACACTTGCCACACACACATCTCTCCTTCTTTTGCATTAGGGGAATAAACACAGAGCCACTCTTACCAGCCGGTCTGGCTGATGCAGATCAACACACACGGTGAGCAGCACAAGAAAGCAAGACAACTCCAAGCACTCAGTATGTGTCCTGCCTCAGATGTCACACTGTCCCTCTGACAGAATCTTAAGCATCTATCCCTGGTTCTGGGGCACACTTCCCCTACTGGAACATCTTTCCTTTCCCCAGATTGAATACAGCTTTTACTTTGATTTTGAATTGAAAGTTTTTGAGTAGATAGTTATGATTAATGATTCTGTTCAGTTTCTCCCTCTCCCTCCCATTGCACTGCATGGCTAAAGTCTCTCTCTTCTTATCTGAGTAATAATGTCTTTATCAAAAGGAGAATCAGCAGTCTTTATAAGTCTTCTGGTTTCCGGTGCCCATCTTCTTCTCTGGACTAAGCTTCAAGTAGCTGTTTCTCTCTGTTCTCCCATCACCCCAAATACCATATTTGTAATTCAAGAACAATTTGCTTCACAGGGAAGGTAGTTTCCTCTAACATCTACCCTATGACCACCTTACCCTTCCCCCACTCACCTCTTATTTCTGTTCACTGCTCTGAAGGAAAATGAGTCAATTTTCTGGCTGATTCTTTTCTGTTGGATCGTTGAATTGAACTGACCTGTTGCAGATGGACACTGAAGTACTGCATGCTTCACTCATAAGAGGAAGGCAGATATTTACTGATACAGATAAATTTGAACAATGAAGACAGCAACTTAACAAGATTCAAAATGGCTAGATATCCTTGACTATTTGCTATGCAGAGGGTGGGGGATGCATAATGAATCTAAGATCAAATCTTAGTGAATCTAGGATAGCTTAAAAACAATGAATCACTTGTCATCAGAAAAATGCAAAAAAACCTACTGACCCCTATTGCTAAAGGAACCTATATCACACTTACCAAGGATCTGTCAGCAATGCATCACCACATACTGGGTGAATTCTGCACAGGCATGAAATGACCTTGAGAGGTGTCCCCATTCAAGGAGAATTCTTCTCACTCTGGAAGTAGAAAGGTGGGTATATAAAAAACAGCAATAACAACAAATCTTTAAACCATATCTTCTATCAAGCTTTTCCTCCCTTCATCCAGGTTTTTCTAAAGAGTACAGGAAGGAGAACAAAAACCTGCAAAACTGTGTGGTACCCAAAGGGGGACAAACTTCTTCCTTCATTCCTTCTCCAAGCTAAGGATTGGTCACTGCTCACATGCTAGTATACTATCCTTGCCACCTCTCTTCTCTACAGGATGTTCTCTTCTCATGTATCATCTATGTAAAAGCATCAGGAAGGGATGAAATGAACGCTATCAACAAAGACATGTTTTCAATGGAACACTGCAGCCCCACGTGCCCTCCTGCTTCAGTCAGAGGACAATATGCCCAGTCCTGACTCCTACATAATAAACATATAATGCCTGTTGCCACTAATTCCCTGGCTGATCAAGCTCTCTGCCAAACTGACAGACTTAGCTGGATACCACAGTTTCTCACAGCTTTGGC